GTCTCAGTCTCAGTCTCAGTCTGTGGCTTTTTCTGCATAGTTATTATAGCAGTAAGTGAATTCTGAAGGGAAACGGATGGATCTGTCCCAGGGGTTCTCAAACTATGGTTCCCACACCACTGGTGGTACTTGTACTCTGTCTAGTGATATGTGAGGAAATCTCTTTAAAAAAAAAGGTTTTCAAATAAATGTCCATTATATACCTCCACATGAATAATCACCAACTTCCATGAGGGGGCGATCTTCTTTTTACTCCAGATGAGTTGTGGCTAAAACAACCCATTTAAACTGTAAATCTGTTCGCTCCATTTCTAGACTTACGTCCCCACGGTGTTTGAAAACTACACGGCGTGTCTGGAGGTGGAAGAGCAGCGAGTGGAGCTCAGCCTGTGGGACACATCAGGTCAGGCTTTTTCCTCCTCCGTTTATTTACATACAAATGAGTTCATGTGGGAGTTTGGTGACGGTCACATTCAAAGGCAGCCAATCTGTTTGAATCTCAGCTTGGCCTCAGAGCGGCGGTATCAGCACCGCATTCAGAGGGTAATTTGTGGAACTTGTTTACCCAAACAACTGCCTCAGTCTGGAGAAAAGCCCCCGTCGTCTGTCGTTGTTACTGTGTCACTGTTTACGCAAACGACGCTATCTGTCAGTCCTGTTTGGCAGCAGTTAAAGGCCCCGTTACTGCAAGGACATCTGCCCAGACACATTCCTCAAGAATCAGAGTTGGTGCAGGACCAGACCAAACAGCCATTAACCACATAATAATAATAATGATAATAATAATATATTTTTTATTTAAATTTTATTATTACTATTATTATTGTAACATTATATTCTTATAACTATTAATTTAACAGAAGAGTTAATGTTTGTGTAATAATAATATGGAAACGTCTTTTAACAGCAGAGAAATAATTTGGCAAATTTAATAATTTAGGGTTATATAAATTTAATGTATTTTTACAAATATTTTGGTTTTATTATTTCTGCAGAAATTAGAAGAAACTGTAACTTTGATGTACAACAATGTTCTACTCACATCACTGTAGTTTGGTTCACACGGTGGTAAGGTGGTTAGTGAGTTTGCCTTACATCAAGAAGATCCCAGGTTCAATTCCCAGAGGTTTCTGATGGTCTGTCTTCATGGCGTTTGCTCCTTCTGTCCAAAAATTAAGCAAATTAAGATGACGTCGGAACATTCATTTGTCAAATCAACAAGTTCTTCATCCATATATGTATACAGATATATGAGCATATATTTAAAATGTTCTACTTTTAGAACCCGTATCGATACCTGCAGCCCACTGACATAATGACCCTAGACAAACAGGATAAAAAAGGCCGTGCGCTGCTGCTCAGAACAGTCTCCTGCCTGAGACTCTGAGCTCAGAGGAAGTGGATCAGAGCCAGCTGGCCAGCAGGGGGCAGTTTCACAGGCGAGAGGGAAAAGCCTCGTCCAGGCAGGGGGTGGAAATCTGCAGGAGTGAGGGCAAGAGTGTGCACTTGAACGGGCTGTACTGTGTGTGTGTGTGTGTGTGTGTGTGTGTGGATGTTGAACACTCGCTGTGAACAGAAGGCACAAGTGAGGGATTCTGGGAGACAGAGACTTTCCTCACAGCCTGGTCGTGTGTGTGTGTGTGTGTGTGTGTGTGTGTGTGCTGCAGGAAAAAAGAATCTTATGTAACTGAAACCTGAACTGAACTGATGTGTGTTCTCCTCACACTGACGACACCGTCCTGGACATGAAACACAGGCATTTACGCAATATAATGTAATAATAACGGTGTGTATTGGAGAGAATCTGTCGACGATACGTATCGCGATACAGGGGCAACAATACGATATATTGCGATATTGTTGGCATGACGATATATTGAGTTGTTCTTTTCCCCCAGTGTAGCTGTAGTCAGAGTGTGATCCTGGTCTGAGACTCTGTTCCATCTGAACATCAGTTCCTAACTCTGGAACAGAGGGATCTACATTTGGAATCACTAGAGAAGAAAGAAAAGAAAAAGAACATGAACCAACACCAGGAATATTGGACTGGGAGTTGGTGAGAAAAAAAAATCAATAACTGATGGAGGAGGAGATTGATACGAGATCAGGAAATGGAGAGATCAGGATATTCCAGTGTATGGATATTTTGTCATTCAGTAATACTGGCTTTCTGTTAGTATTTAAAAGTATTAACAGTGAGTACTGGACGTAGCACAGATATATTTATATATTTAATGAGGTGCATGAAATAAACAGAACCATTGATCACATCAGGTTGAAGATTATTTGTAAGTATCTATTCTTGGTATTTGGACTTTACTGTGTCGTATCTGAAGGAACTGACCTGCTGTGTATTCGACCCCCCCCCCCCCCCCCCCCCCCCCCCCGCCGCGGGCGGACTGCAGTAGGAAATTGAGTTGTGTTGGAGTGACTGGGCAGCTGAGTCAGGACAATGGAGAGCGGACATCCTCACTGTCTGTTTATAGCACGGGAGTCTTCCTGAGAGACGGAATAAAAACGGATCCTCGAGCTGTTTATAGAAACCTCCTCCACATTCTCAGTGTCCGAGGTGTGACATTAATGAGACGGCGTTCAGGTCGGACAGGAAGTGGACCAAAGAGCCGAGTGATCGTAACGCAGGTGGTGATGAGGTTCGTTGGTCGTTGCTGAGTTCTGTCCACATGTAATTAAAAATATTTTGGGATTTGTGTTCTCCGTCCTGAGCCCCACTCATCAGAGGAGCTCAGAGAGGAGACCGTACGACCCCCGGGCGGTCGCTCTCCATCCCTGGAAGTCTGTGCTGATGTTGACACAAGAGTTATTGTGTTCGTAATTCCACGGAACGGCGACGTCTACTTCGAAACTAATTTAAAAACCGTGGGACTCTGGGTCCATTTTTTTCCAGTTTCCAGTCTTTGAATCTGCACTGACGTCAGTGAACAGGAGGTGGTGTTTTTAAAAATAAAAACCTTTTTGTGATTTTTTGATTTTTAGAAAATGGTTGAAGAGGAAGTCACTGTGTCTGGAGGTCACGTCGTTTATCGAACACGTTTACCTGCAGTTCAGCTCTGTAGCCTGTTGGTGCTCATTAACAGCTAAGATATTCTTTGGAAATGATTTGCTTCTGATTATTATTTTTTGCCAACAACAAAACTAATAATACTGCGACCTCCGTGTTTTGTCCCCTCAGGCTCACCGTACTACAACAACGTCAGGCCGCTCTGCTACAGCGACTCAGACGCCGTGCTCTTGTGCTTCGACATCAGCCGACCTGACACGGTGGAAAGCTCACTGAAGAAGGTACTGCCAACAGTAGCATGTGATGCTAACAGTTGGACGACATCAAAGTCGTACAAAAAACCCCGTTATTTTACCATCAGGGTTGTACACGAAGTTACTACAGTATTCATTGTTGAACGAAGTTTCTCTGGGCCGTGGTTTAATCTGGTTTCTGTTTCTCTTGTACGTGAACAGTGGAAGTCTGAGATCCAGGACTTCTGCTCCAGCACAAAGATCCTGCTGATAGGCTGCAAGACCGACCTGCGCACGGACGTGTGCACGCGCATGGAGCTGTCCAATCAGAGACAGAGTCCCATCTCCCACGAACAGGTTCGTTCTGTCTCTGCTGTAACAGAGTCGGTTTTTCAGCTGTTCATCTGTACCGACCAATCATCGAGATGATGACAAAATCTGTCTCTGCTGTAACAGAGTCGGTGTTACAGCAAAAAAAGTCAATCATCGAGATTGATGACAAAACGACATCTCACCACCTGATTGGTCCAATCAAGTTTGATTTTTTAAATGATTGATTATGGATTTTTCTACATCAATTCGTAGTTGGCAAAGAAACAAACTTGGCAATCAAAAAAATAACAAATAAAAAATACTTTCCATTCGTTCAGCTCGTCGTTAAGACGACCAGCGGAACAGAACGTGAGCAGAGAACAGACCTGAAGAATTTTCACTCGTTTCTATTTCCTGTCTGGACTGAGTGACAGTCAACTGATCCTCCGTCTCTCTCGTTCTCGTCTACACCTACAGGGTCTGTCCATGGCCAAGCAGCTGGGAGCGGAGACGTACCTGGAGTGCTCAGCTTTCACGTCGGAGAAGAGCATCCACAGTGTTTTCCGGACGGCGGCGCTCGCCTGCATGGACAAGCTGCAGCCCGCCAACAAACCCAGCCCCATCCGCCGGCTCTCCAAGAGATTCCTCCACCTGTCCAGCAGGACCGATCTCATCTCCTCCACCTTCAGCAGGGACAAGTCCAAGGGCTGCACCATCATGTGAATTCTGTCGGGATTTTCCTAGCTACGCTAGCTACGCTAGCCAAGAGGAGAGAAAACAACTGAGTGTGGATTCCTGTGAAACATCGATTTTTTTTTTCCTCTTTTTTCCCAGGCCTGGACTTGTTCCACCGCTCCACAAAAACTCTGAACCCTTTCCTGTCACCAGGTGGCAGCGCGGGGACCAGGTGAACGACCAGGTCTGTGGACCAGGTATTTCTGTTCACAGACAGATTCTTTTCCTCCTCAGGGCTGCGCTCATAAACACCACATTATCCTGATGAGACGCTTTAAGTTGAACGTCTGACTGAGGTCACGGAATGGGCTGAGTGACAGGATCTGATGTGAAGGCTGACAGGACAGGAAGTGGTTTATACACGGTCCGTCCTCCCGCTAAATCCTCCCGCGTTTGGCTTTAAGATTGAAGCTGACAGAGAGATGATGAGATGGGGGTGAGGGGGTGAGGGGGGGTGGGAGTCTTCATTTGAGAGGATGAGCTGCTGAAGGAGCGTGAAGTGACACAGCGCCGCCCTGCTGGACGTGTTCTTGTTGATTTCCTTTAAACCACTCCATGCTGTTCGTCGTAGATGGATCCGTTTTTCCACCTCCTCCACTTTCACTCACTTTCTCCGTTTGAGTTTCTTAGTTTAAGGCTTAACATTTTATTTTATGTTATTATTTTTAAAAATGTTTTTATTATTATTATTATTATTCTTATTCCACTGGCTCCGACTGCCTGTGATGCCTTTGTAGCTGTTTATGTTCCGGAATTCACTCCAGTCTTCTGGCATTAGCGGCTGTTGACAGCTCCGCTAATGGAGGAGTTGATGATTTGTAGGCCTGCACCAAGAGAACGTACAGCACTCTGGAATTTAACGGGTTGCCTAGCAACAGTGTGAGCCGAACCAGCATCCTGTCTGGCAGATGGGAGAGAGAGAGACAGAGAGAGAGAGAGCATCAGTTTTTATTTGTAGCATTAAAGAAAAGCCACGGTGAAGACGTCTGTTTTGTTTGTGTTTTTTTTTTTTGCATTCCACTCGTCTCACGTCACTGTCCTGGGGACGGTGCCCCCCCCCCTGTCCTTCCTCATTATCATCATCAATATACATAAGTGATCAGCACTAGGGATGTCCGATAATATTGGTCGGTCGATATTAGCATAATGATGTAATATCGGTAAGATCGTCGAGGTTTTTCCTCCGATTTTGAAAATCCGAAACACAATGCCTCAATTTTGCCAAATTTTCTGGAATTGTAGGGTCCTGAGACATTGACCACAGTTTTGTCGTGTACAGAGCCAATGAAAATCAAACAGACAAACTTTTATACTGAGAACAAACCGCTGTGGTTTCCTTCACTGCTCTCTGACTTTTAAAAAATCACAAATCCTGTCTTTTAAAAAAAAAGAAAAAAAAAAGAACCATCTTAATGGTAAAAAATAAAATAAATAAATGTGTCAAATTTCCAGTTAAGAGTTTAAATTATTACCTGAATTCTGTCTTTCTGAATGTCACACACTTTGATTTTTAAGTTTTATGTAAAATAAAAACATGTGAAAAACATATGTATTTTTCTTTTTTTCTCACATTTTCTCCTTATTTTAAAGACTCTCTGGTTCCGTGGCCTCAGGGTTGCGTTTCTTTATCTTTATTCCTTCAAGATTCTGCAGCTTCATCTAAGTGGGTCAAAGGTTATTTGGGTTTAACGTCGTGTTCACATGGTGTGGATTTGATCTGACCTCGTTTTACAAACACTGAATTCATTTGACATTTTTCCACATGAGGAATTCCATCATTTAGTCACAGAATAAACACAGGTGAGAAACACTGACCTCTACCTGTCGTTCCTGGTCTGATCTAGTAAAACATTATATAGAATTAAAGTTTGTTTTTGTCATATTTAGCTATAATATGATGACTAGTATAACTCAACACGTCTCCATGTGACAGCATTCGTTGACCATTTATTATCTATTTGTTGTGTTATTGATACTTTACTGACATGGCCTTTATGTACAGTATATACTGTATTATTTACTGTTTACTGTTGAGATCATGGAGCCATAACTAATTTTCCAAGAAACATAAATTAAAAGTTCTTCTTCGGCTGTTGTTTCCTCCTGCTCTTTTTTTATGTAACCAGGTAATCCTCCTCCTCCCCCCTGATCCCCCCTTCGCCCCAACCTCCTTAATGGTATTTGCTTAGTCTTTCATTGACTGATAGCAGCTCTTATCTCTGACTGCGTCCCATTGTCACACTGTGTCCACTGATGACACGGGGGTGAGGGTGAGGGTGAGGGTGAGGGTGGGGGGGTGACATGAGCTGAACTATCACACACAGGATACTGCAGTGATCTGTGACCTCGTCATCCGTCACCTCTGTACAACAGCAGGAGAGGAAACTATGACAATATGTTATCAGCCTCAAAAAGATTTCATTAATGTCAGCTGGAACATGGCCGACAGAAGTCTAAAAAAAAAAAAAAAAATTCTTAGTTCAGTTCAATTTCACTGTGAGAACACAAACAAATGATGGGGGGGATA